ACACAGGGTACACAGGGTACACAGGGTACACAGGGAGAATGGGTAAGAGGGAGTCTATAAGGAGACTGGGTAACAGGGAGTCTATATGGAGACTGCCATGAATTACTTGCCCATTTTCTGCCATGTGAGTATTCTAGTGGTGTCGGCGTTTTCCCTGACTATCAAGATTTCTGGAAGTATCTTTTGAAATCTCTGTCTGTTTTATTTACGATCTTCAGTCATTGTGAATGGCGTCCAGGAATGCAACAAAGGTAAGGACTTATTTGATCGGCCAATTGCCACTTCAAGGCACTTAGATCATCGGGTTCTTATGGGCCTCTGACAAAAGAACGACAGTGCAGAAGTTTTTGTCGCTATTGTCTCCCACAGGAGGTGAAGCCACATATGTCATCGTAAGAGCGAGTGATGGTTGCGATAGAATTTCGATCTTGACCCAATTTTGACCTCATACTTCCCGGTGCTTCATACAGCTTGTTTCGGAGTACTTCTGCAGAAGACGATGCAATCAATGGTGCATGTAAAAACAAAGCTTTTACAGTAAAACACTGCATATCCTGGAAACTATGAAGGAGAATTGTATTTATTTTACCGCTTCAATTAGCCTACAGTACAGGCGTCTTACTACAGGGCGTAAGAAATCGATAATTTCGATACTCAATATACAAATTGCATCGTTACTATATAGTAACGATGCAATTTGTATATTAATTAATCGACAAATATTGAAAATCAACAAAAAGGCGATAATTTACACTCTTTCGTGCGACCATTGATTTTCATCGAGTTATGTTCAGTTTCTATTGATTTCATTGATTAAATAGATTTCAATCAAAAAGTATTGAAACAATTAAAGAGCTATGTATTTTGAAGCGTAAACATTACAGAGGCAGTTAGTGCGGTGGTCCCTTTGGTTTCTAATTCCTTTTGACCCCTTTCAACCGACAAACACGCGGATTGACGTCTTAATACACAATCTGAAAGTAACAGGATCTTACTGTTAAACAAAAATCAGAATCTGGCAGAACACGATGCCACATGATGCAATCCTATGCAATTTACCTCAATCTAAAGCTTCATAAATGTGAAATTACATTTGTTCAAACACTGTTGAACTTAACACAACATTGTCCTTTTGTAATTACACTATAAATATGCCGACGGGAGTAGGCACTTGAGCCTTAGGTGTTAATCCTGCTCCAATTTTGATCTTCATTTCTGAAGTCAAGTTTTCCAAAAATTTAAATGTCAACTTTTTGTTGACCACTTGATCAAAGCATGTCTGAAAAAGTTTGAAATAAAATTGCTATCAAATTATCTCATCGTGGAACAACATCTTTTGAAATGCACCATGATTTGCCTTAAAATGGTCCCCAGAAGTGTTGGAATTAAATTCCAATATAATAAACATGGTTGTGGATATGAATCTTAAGTGGGAAGGTACTGACAAGGAAACTTAATTCTCAGAGTTCCTTTACATATATGTAACTTATAATGATTTCAAGGTTCAAGGTTACACTTTTGTTAGATCATAATACATGCATAGTGGCCAGAAATGAAGTTTTGGGCATCGTACATGGCTGACCAAACCATTTCTCTTTACTATAAGCAAAGTGGCCTTTCTTCATTTTTGAAATTCACGTATTTAATTACTAACTAGGAAACCAAGGAGACAGAAGCAAATTTTAAGAAGAAAATGATGGAATATATTAAGTACTATTTTTTTGGATATGTTTATCTCAGTATATCTATCTTTATTTATCTAAAGTCTTGTGCCAAAATTTTTCTCTACCTGCCATGGCAATCAGAATTGTCACAGCTTGAAGCACTGATTTATAACTTAATTATTACTCCTTAATATGTGTTATAGAGAAAGAAAACTGGAACAATAACACTGACTCTTCACTCCACAGTGAATCAGTGTCTCAGATGGTAATTTTGAAGCTTATTTGAACATTCATTTCCATGCCCTTTTTTGGAGTATTTTGGTTCTGTGATGTTTCAGCCCTTAATAGCAGGAAACAATATAGTGGTTGTCCTTAATTTTTAGGGCACATGTCTGATCTTGCAGGAAAGTTTTGATCAACCAAAAACTCATGGTCTGTCTTGGTTAATTAGTTAATGTGCAATAGGAATCATTGTATTTCCTTTAAGCTGGCTCCTTCAGATTGCTCATAATGTTCATCAGAAGAATTCTCCACAAACCAATTGCTTTTTATTCCTACCATTAGAACATATGTGAAAGTTCTTACTTCTTTCCCCATTTTGAGGCATTATAATCTTACCAGTCTTTTAATGCACCACCCAGGCTAAACTTGCAGGACCTCTGAAAATTGGTTCACAAACAGCTGCTGCTTTGGTACTCATAAAAAAATCATTATTTGAACCTAGATTTCCTTCTTTTGTTCCTCCTACTGGTTGAATTCAATCAGCAAGAGATGAGTAAGATAGAAATGATATACTTTATTTCTTTATAGGATAGCAAGCAGATTGCTAGGCAAGATTCAAAATGCAGACATAAATCATAAGAGTTTTGAAGACAATTTAAAAAAAAATTGAGTTTTCTTTGAAATCTTGTAGTGTGACAAGTGTCACAACATTATCCATAATTTTCAATTGTGGAGGTTAAATAGTTTTGTTTTTTGAAGCACACCTCTCCTTCAAACAACTCAGTCAATCAATAGATTTTATTTTAATAGGGGAGCATGTGACAGTAGTAGAACTGATGACTCTTTTGGCTCTCTGTAAGATAAAACTGAAAATACGTCTAGAAATGTTACATAATATATAAATATATATATATATAAAGTGTGGCTTGATTTTGGCAGAACAGTGCTCAATACATAGAAGTAGAGCGAAGTATATATTGTGGGAGGAAAAAGACAAGTAAACTACAAGTTCATCCCTACAAGCCTGTTTTGTGGTCGCCCACTCATCAGGGGATTTAATGAGAACAAACTTTACCATTGCTTATATACTGTATAATTTGCATGATCTAACTAGTCTACCAAGCCTCCGTTACACGCAAAGACAACAACACGACAGAAACGTACATCGGACTCACAGGGAATGACTTCAAAACAAGATACAGAAACCACACTACATCATTCCGCCACGCTAAACACAGAAACTCTACCGAACTCAGCAAGCACATCTGGACCCTCAA